CCCCAAAACCCCAAAACCCCAAAACCCCAAAACCCCTATTAGAAAAATACATTTGAGTTATATAATTATTTAAGCCAAAGGAAATGTTTGAGAAATACTTTAAGTCAATCCTCATGTCTGCCCTAGGAGAGTTCATAGAGGTAATTTGTACAGTTAGAGTAATAGGATTTTACTGATAAGGACGTTAAGATAGACAACTGGAATGGAAAAGTCATTAAAGAGAACCTTATACTTAAGAAAACTGCACTGATGAGACTTTCGAAATTAATAGGACTCCCTCTGGAAGTCACTGATGGATACGCTCAGACTTTAATGGTCCGAATCCCATGGAACAGGCTATGGAAAGAACCTATAGAAATTTTAGTCGAGAATGTCTATGCAAGCTGCAATGTTACAGCTGAATACTCTCAAGAGTTTGCTGAAGATATGCTTCTTCAACACAAAGATAGGATCATAAATAAAAGTAAGCTATATTATCCATCATTCGGATCATTATCCTTCTATTCTATAGTTCTGAAAAACATCAAGCAGAATCAAGAAGAGAGTAAAGGTATTTATTATATATCATTTTTAGATGAGAAGAAGAGCAGTGGTCTCTTGTATGGATACGTCAAGACCATCCTTGACAACATCAAGATAAAAGCTACCAATATTCATCTTAGAATTGAGGATATGGAAGCTTCAATGAAGAACAAAGCCTTCAGCTTTGGATTCAGATGTGATCTTATTGAATATAGCAGGGTAACCAAAAGCGGAGACGAAAATTTCGACAAGAATGGAGAGAAAGCTGTTATTCCTAAGCTGATCCTTAATGGACTTGCTGTCTATTGGATGACAATGGATAACTACATTATCAGACCACTTAATATCAAATGGCTTGGGACCTCGGTGACAATCACTCCATTGATAGTAACTGTGGATATTAACATTCTGAACAATTTCAGAGCTCTCTCCAAGCTGATGACCTATCATAATCAAAATATAGAAAACAAGCTGGTCTATGTCAACAGGCCAAATTATCTTGAAAAGGTGAGAGGAAATGCTAAGAAGTACTGGAAGTTCGCTATCACTAACGTAATCAACATAATCAGGAGAAAAAAGGCTAACTTTGACTCAATTCAGAAGCAATATGAGATGTCAAAATTACAAGAAATGCTATTACGTAATTTTAATACCTAATCATAGTGGAGAGTATCTACGGGATGAGCATGGTCTCAGTGAAGCAATACTATTACTCCAAAGGAACCGAGCCCAAGCTTCTCATCTTTGAAGGCACCAACCATGAGAAGGAATTCACAGACTTAGAGCAGCTTAAACTGGAAATCAGAAGGGTTAGATCATCGACTTATTTATAGGTGAAAATATTATTAGATGAGAAGAAACTAGCTTTCTGTCAGGATAGGGCCAACAGAAGATTTGAAATGATCAAGCAAGAAATTGAGGAAAATGAAAATAAAAGATCAAAGTGGACCTCATGGCTTCCAGGCTTCGGCAAGCAATATACAAATACTACCGAAGAGAATAAGGAGGATAATGGCGACATGTTCATGGATGAGCAATTTGAAGAAGCCATTGATAGGTACACAGAAATTATCAATAAGAAAGAAGAAGATAAGGAAAATGATGAAATACTCTATCACTTCACAATTGCTCTCCCTCTCTTTGAGCTCTTCCTATGTAATAAGAAGACTCCTTCTTCACAGCCACAAGTATTCTGAAGGCTTAGAATGAACGAAATTAACTTCCAGAGATCCTCCATTAATGGAAGAATAGACTACCTCTTTGCCATTGATGATATTGAGATAGTCAATGAAGAAGCCAAACTTAAGAACTTTGATACCATCTTTAGAAGAAAACCAAAAGGAATAGACTTAACTGAAGATGAAAGTGATGAGTTCCTCTCAAGACTCAACTCTGATTATGATGACGAAATGGATTCATTTGAAACAGAAAGTAAGTTTTTTTCAATAATTTCAGGTAATCTTGGACTGTTTAAGAATATTGCCAAAATGAAGGATTCTCAAGAACAATTTACATTCTCTGAAGTGCTAGATGATCCGATGCAGCTTCTTAATAGCCAGGCAAACCCACCTTTGATCCTTTTAAATCTAACCTATACTAGAGTTTCTTCCAATCAAATAGATGATGAAAACAACGAATCAATCTCAAAGTAATTAAGCTTTTTATCTCATAGAGATTTGCACTCTTTTGAAAAATATGATTCTTCTTTGAAACTCTATGTGCAACATTTTGAGATCTACATGGATAAGCTTATGGTTGGAACGATGCTCAAGAACTTCATTAAACTCCAGTAAGGCTCCTCTATGACTCATAGACATGACTTCATGTCCCTAGAATCAAACCAGCGGTAAGCTTCCTTCCTTATTCCTAGCCAATCATCTCAGTCAGACACTAACCTGAACACTTCAATATCAAGCTTAAATCTGAGCATGCACAAAGAAACGTCTATCTCAACTCTGGTTAGAAAAAATTCTCCAGCAAAGGAGTCATATAAAAGTATTATGGCTAATTTCGGAGGAGTCTCTGTCTTTACCCCTAACACTGAGACATTCGAGCATGACTCTAATAGTACTTTTTGTATCTAAGATCTAGTCCTATGCTTTCATCTCGGAGAAATCAAAATTATTAAAGGAAACCCTCAAATCGACAGAGCACGCAGGTAATATTTGGATATGACAATCTAGGCTCCTTGAAGATGAGACTGAGTTTTCCTTTAAGCATGTTCTTGATAGGAATAAAGCCATTATGAACACACTCAATTGTGCAGAGACTATCAAACAACTCAAGCTTTGTAAAAATACCAATAGTGAGCAAGTCACTTATGAAGTAAATGACATTAATGTTGCCCTTTGTGGGATATCTCCGGACAATTCTGAATTTTCAGAGGAAATTAAGATCATCAAGAACTTTGATGCAAAAGTTATTTACGATACTCCAATATCTGCAGAAGCTGACCTCACCGCAAAAATATACCTAGAGCTTGATAGAATCGAGTTTGTGATTAATAAGATCCAGCTCTCTAATCTAATTGAGCTATCTCAAGCATTCCAAGAAGATATTAACAAAATATCAAGTTTAGCAGTTAGCAAGGCTAAGCTAGGCTGCGATCAAGATGCTAAACAATCCTTACTCAACTCTTCAGGACTCCATAGTCTTTCGCTAAGATATAGCTTAACTGCTCATAACCATGAGATGTGTAAGTTTTATATAAAAATTTGTAGCTCATCCTCCAATTGAAGAGTCCAAACTCCTTGAAGAAAGCTCCGATGACGATGAAAAGTTCTTCGATGCCTATGATGGCTTAGACGACCTAGACAAGGACATCTACAATCAAATTCAAAGTAATATCCCCTTTCACTCTTTAGATAAATAAGACTTCTACAGGCCCTGAATTCGAGCAAATAAATAAGAGGAAATCGGAAGAATTAGCTAAAAAGTCTAGCAAAGCAAAGTTCATAATTATATCAGAAATGAGAGGTTTCACACTCTCAATGATGCACACAGAAAGAGACATAAATTTAACCCCAAGATCTATTTCAGCAGAAGAGTCCCCTATTTTTAGTGTAAAGATGAACGTTCTCAGAATCGGAGCTATTCAGAGCCAAGAGTCTCTCAAATCAGCATTTCACATCCATTCTTTCCAAGTACAGCATTATAATTCTAAAGTGTTGTACTCAAAAATTGATTTTACAGAAGATCATGATCACTATGAAGAGAGTAAGAGCAATCAATCTTACTCAAACAATCAGTCGAACGCAGATGAACCTATTAGGTATTATGCTCACTAACAAATAGGCATGAACTAGCGGATCACTTCTTAACCTTGTCCTTTGTCCAGAATAAAAACAACATCATTGTATCTAATTCAACAGTGAAGATTTCTCTTGGAAGTGTAAAATTCGATATTGATAAGAAATGTGTTGAACACGCTCTAGATATTATCCCTGCACAACTTGAATCGCTATCTAAAGCAACCGATAAAGTAGCAAATACTCATATAGGCTCTCCTCGTGGGTCTTTTAAAGAGGAAAAAGGATACGAGTTTAATCAAATGCCTACTCTTCTCCGTTCAGCTCATCAGATTAAATCTGGAAGAGCAAGACATAATTCCTTTATCAAAAATTATGTAGAAGACAAAAACATGAGTGAGCAAAGCAGCTGTAAGTTCACTAATAAAACAATAGATTTTAACGAGCAAGACCATGCCAATGAAGAAGAGACAACTACAACTAACTTATCAATCAGAATTCATTTAGACTCAATTCAAGGAAAATTCAAGGTAAATTACCATTTTTATTGATATAGATTGGGCCTAGCACTTCAGTAGAAATGATCATAGCAAAAGTGCAGGGCTCTTGAGTGCTCTCCAATGGTGCTCTCACCTCCTTCGACCTTAAAATCCAGCAATTTGGTCTGATAGCTCCCTCTCTGATCAGGCTGAGCATAACTCCTTTAAGAGATGACACTACAAATGCACTAGAAATAGGATATATGTTCAACATAAACGAGGATCACATGTACACAGAGAACAAAACAGTGATCAACTTGGATAATCTAGTTCTCACTATTTCCACAAACACCATTAAAACAGTGCTTACTGACCTAGAAGACTTTCAGAGCCTTTTCAATCAAGAGAAACAGCTTCAACAACCCCAATACATCAATCAAGAAATAAAGAAAAGTCAGAAATTGTTCAAAGAATTTATTTTTGAATACAAAGCCATAGATATCACCTTCCAAAACAAAGATGATTTAATTGGGGTTAATTTTAGCACTTCTAGAGGTCTTTTTAGCAAGAACAACCAGGGTACCAGCCTCAACACAGAAAATGCAAATATCTCCCTCAAGGTATGCTAATTACTTAACAAATAGAAAACAAATGATTTATCAGAAAGTGAACAGAGAACATTTCCTGTGATGAAGTTCAACAGAATATTTGCCAAAGTATCTACCAATGAAAAGAGCATGAAGAACAGCAACTACTTCAATAAGCAGGCATTCAAAATCAAAGGTATCGTTTCGCATGAACCTCTAGAAATATCAATCACACTTTGAGAACAATATCTGACTAATATCCATCAGTTTATTGAGGACAAGATTCCGCAGATAGATCTGATTCTTGCTCGATTCGCTCCGGAGGCTTCCCCCTCCCAAACTTCTGATGAATACTCTTCAGTCAATACTTCGAATGGAGAAAAGACTATTTCTGATCAGAATAAAAACTCCAATGAAAATTCTAACTCTAAGACAAATTCTATAAAAGAGCAATTCCAAAACTTTGCTCCAAAAGATGAAGACATTTCTTCTCATAAAGGAAGTGCAAAATCAAAACGTAACTTTATTGAAAAGCATGCTTTCATTTCTTCAAAATTCCAAACAAGCCTGGCTGCTAACCGCTGAGAGGCTCTTCTTGACTACAAACTCATCACCAGCACCCAAATCTCCATCCAAAAAATCACCCTAAAGTGGAACCACAAGTACTCCATGGATTCCGACCAGTTATCAACAGACCTTCTCAACACGCCTAGTTTAAAATCTCTTGCTGTACCTTCACAAGGCCCTCTTTTGCTCTCCAGTCAGAACCTTCTGAAGCTTCCTTCAGATTCAGATTCCATTTCTCTTTCCCTGGTGGTTACTAGTAAAGCTCTGTTCTTAGGCTTACAAAAATGGGAACTTGTTAGTGAAGACACCTCAATATCTCAGAGTGAAATTGCTACTAATCAGATATATTCCTTTGTAAATCCTCATGTTCAGATTACCAAAGCTAGTGTTGCTCATTTTAGTATTTGAACGCAAGTAGGCAATGAGCAGCATTCTTTGATGACTTCAGGAAGCCAGGAACGTTTCTTAGAGTTTTATCTATGGAGCAAGCGGTAAGTCAGCATCATTACACTCTAGTAAATATGATAATTCAGAGACTGAAGGTCGAGTAAGATTTAATCATCTAAGATTTTAGAAAATCTTGAAGCTTTCAGAAAAACAGAAAGTTAACCTTAATATCGGTAAGTGCATGAGGCTTAAGGCACAGATCAAATCACACTTTGTGCTAACAAAGATGTTATTCAAGAAACCTCAGAAGTTACAGAAGAAGCTATCAGAATGTACAAAATTCATGAGGAGAGGTTAAAAGACAAAATTAACAAATGGAATAGCTCTTCTACTCAAGAATCCCCAAAAGACTCAGTTGAATCAACAACTCTTAAGCAGAAAGTCGTCAGGTTCCATTGAGCGAAAATAGCTGCAATTCTTTCAGAAATCTCGACTGAACAGGATACTCTTGAAAGAATGAGCGAAGAGATTGAAGATTCCTGAAGCTCTAACTTTATGAGAGATAGTACCAAGTATGATCTTGCAGCTAGTGAGAAAAACTCTGTCTACTCAAGTAATATTGGATTTGGCAAATCTCAATTCGAGGACAGTATTGATCTTGTCTGCTTCGAAGTCACAAATGCAAGCTTTAAGTTTGACCTCTGCCCAAAGAACAATATGCGAGATAATCCTAAGCTTAGTGAACTATTCAAAGAGCACTCAATTCCAGAAATCAAAGGTAACTTGAGAGCTCATTTTTAGGAAACTTCGACCTTGAGTTCTTTGGATATAACATTGAAGAAATCTCAAAAATAAAGATTTTGTACCAAACTAAAATAATGCTTTCTGCTTGTTCCATCTTCGAAGAACAGGAAAATAAGCATATCTTGCTAAAATTCTTGAACATAAAGTGATCGGCAATTGAGCTTGAATCTAGCCTAAATATTCTACTGGAAATCACTAACAAAACAAGTATGTTTGCTGTCTAACTTCTAGGTGCTTTGGTTGACCAAGCGAAGGAAAGAAGTCGACAAATAATGGCTCTTCTGGAGGCAAAGACTGATGAGTATTTTGATTTTTTATGATGAAATAGGAGCGCTAAGAAGACTGAGCATTCAAGGCAAATAAATATATCAAGAGCTGATTGATTCACTAATCAAATTGGTATTTTTAGACTAATTCTGTAGACTACTCTTTCGAATTTGGTGCAGATGAAATTTATATTGCTATTCTCAAAGAAAATCGTAAAGAGTTCCTGTAATCTATAGGCAAGAATAAGATTCAATGGAAGTTTCTACCCCTCTTTTCGGTAGAGATCTTCGAAGCAAAAATTGTTGGCAACATTGAGACAGAAGTGACCCAAAGAAATCAGAGCAGTCGTGTCATAAAACAGAAGTAAACTTTTATGAATTAATTGGTGTAGGAAGCAAGAAGTGATATTGCCAGCAGTAGTTGAGTCCAAAGTACTCTCTAAGAAAGCTGAACTCTCTACCAGTGCCACACTTTATTACTTTAGTTTCAAACTCAACTTCTATGAACCGTTTATTGAGAGGTTTGGACTAGTTGCCAGTTATAAATCCGATGAGCAGAGTAAGAGCATTTACATAGAAATCGATGAAAGCTTGCCTCTGAATGTCAATTTGAGCACTGCTTTATTTGAGAATATTATTGTCTGTACAACTTATCTTAATGAATGTATGATTAAGCACGGAATGAAACCAGAAATGAAGATGAATTCCCAAACTAAAAACTCTCTTTTGAACCTTGAGTCAAACAGAAATAGCTATGACTATAATTATTCGATAGAAAATTTAACTGGAGAGGAGATCCTGGTTGCAACAAGAGAAACTGACGAATATGTTTCTGTTAATGCCAGTCAAGTTATGATGCTCGATTTTAGCAATAAATACGAGGAAGCAAAACCTGGATTAGCACCTAAATTAAGCAACAACAGTAATTTTGTTACTAATTTTCCAGGAACCACTTCTCATATCAAGAGCCCTTACAGAAAAGAAAACTTCAGAATTCAGAGCAGTTTAGACGAGAGAGCCATAAAGGTTTACCTCTTCATTCCTAGTCTACACTCTGAAGAATCATCGAAGATAGAAGAAAATGAAAAGTAAGCAATTCAGCTTAATTCTTAGCTCTGAGAGGATCATTATTGATCTCTATGAACTCCAACATCGCCAATGCATTAAATTTGAAGTAGGAGATAAACAGCAGTTCTATTTTCTCTGTCATGAACAGAAGTCATCCAATGATCAAAGAAAACTCATTTTACGCTCCCCCATTCAGATTAGGAACACTCTCCAAGTTCCTGTTGAAATTAAATTTGAGAAAGCAGACGACTCATACAGCCAAAAGGCTATGATACGGAGAGATAGTGTCAACGAATATAACGACTCAACTGCTTTTAAGCTTTATCTCGGCCCTGACTCAACCTCAGTAGTTCCAATAAGAATGCTAGACACTGACAAAACAAAATACAATGTAAGCCCATCTTTTTCAAACTTTATAGGATTTTTGCTTCAGACTAAGACCAATCACTCTTGATTCTAAATCAGATCAACAAGAAATGGAGCAAGCTAATTCAGAAATAACAGAGTCATTTGATTGGTCCAATGAAGCCAAATTTGGAATAGGATCCTGCACTGAGCGCCAGCTGTTTGAAGCTCGACCAATCACTTTACAATGCAAATCTCTTGACGAAGAAGAGGGTGATGAAAATATCTATCTAAGGTATGGCTTTATCAATATGTATATAGCACTTCTTTGACCACAAAAGTAATGAACTCAAGAGATGTGATCAGGTTTATCAGTATCAATGCTCCATATAAGATACTCAACTCGCTTCCATTTGATATGAGGATCTTCCTCAACCCAGGAGAGTATCCACAAGATAAGCTTCTGTTCCAGAATCCGAATCTTACCGATTTGCTCTCTAAATCAAAGGTAGGACTATTTTTTAATATTGTAGCCTAAAGAGGAAGTCAAGACGATCCAAAGAACTTCTGAGTATAAAGTTCCAAACTTCGAAAAGAGCACCAAAGGGCATCAAAAGTTCAACTCTAAGGTATATCTTTGTCATTAATAACCCTTTAGTCTCAACACAAAAAGGATTACACAATTATAACAGCAATAGAAGAAAACAAAGAAGAAGATGAAGATGAGTCTGATTATGAAAACTCAAATTTTGGACCATCATTCGATCACCCAAGCTCTCACTTGTTCCCATTTGTTGACATCAAATCTAGTCACGAAGTGAGTCTAGTTGATACAGAGCCCAGTCCAGACTTGTCAATTTCTATCCAACCTCCAATGTATCGGGCCTCTAACTTCCTCAATATCACAAGCGAGTTAGAAGAGTCAGATGAAATCAACGAAGAAATTTTACAAACAGATGATCATATCCAAGATCTCCTGAAGAATAGTTGAGAATTCAGGTTCCTTAAAAAGAATACTTTCATTTTTCAAGTCACAAGTAAGATTCTTGTTAAACTTTCCAGAAATAAATGATAATGACAAGCGGAATCCCCTGATAAACATTTGTTGTGATGTAACCTGAATCCAAGGATTCTATAAACTACATTTCTATACAAAATACTGGTTCATCAACTCCAGTGAGCTACCACTTTCTATACGTTTCTCTGAGGTACTGTTAAACTCTAAAGTTTAGAGAGAATACGACTATGCAGAACTCAGACTTCCTTACTCCTCAAAGTAAGAATTTTCAACCAAATTCTAGGGACCATGAATTCCACCCCAACCAGTGCAATCAACAGACTCCAAAAATTCAAGATATTAAGCATGAATCTGACAACAACATCAACTTGAGACTCAACTCTTGGAATAAATATCGGTCCATAAAGCCTATCTACGATGGTCTTACTTCAGCAACTGACAATGAAAATGATCTTCAGAAAACGACTGATCTCCAACATGAATACGGTTTGACCCTCTTGGATGTAGACTCTTCAGACAGTGAGCAAGAAGATAAGCCCACATTGGTATCTCCTAGGCTAATTTTATAGATCAATCAGGTGATGCATAAACAGAGAAAATCAATTATCAATGAAAAGCATGTTCCACCCTCATTTTCTGAGGAGGAGTATAACAAGATCAGGACTTTCTCTAAATTTGTAAACCAAAATGAAGAGGATGATTCTTATATCCACTTCAAAATCGCTCAATCGAAATGGAGCAAGCATAAATTTGATATTCCTGAACTACAGAAAGCCCCTCTAAATATCAAAGGAAAGGGAATCGATGACAACATCACTAGTGAGTACAGCATCTGCTCGAATTTCAAATACCTACCATATCCCTATTCGAAGACCACTCTTGTCACATTTGTTCCCAAGTACAAAGTATACAACAAGTGCAAATCACCCATATTTATCTACCAAAACGGATGTAATCAAAGCATGTGCTTATATCCCACCGAGAGTAATATCTTTAACTGGACGAATTCAATCAAGAAGAAGCAAATTAGGATTAGATACGATCAATATACAACTACTGGTAAGTTTAGCTGTAATCCTTAGGTCCATTCAAGATTGACAGAGTTGAAGATGTCCATCTCAAGTTCAGAAAAGTCACAGCTAGCGGAATAGAGGGTGGAGATGGTATATTTAATCTTAACATACTAGCTTCGATCAATCTTAAAATTATCAAAGTCTCAATCAAAGAGATAGAGTCGACTTTCCATGTAGAATTCACAGAAGAAGACTTCACACCTCCCTACAGAATTGAAAACATGACAAGGCACAATCTCCTAGTCACTCAGCCAGCTTCAAAAGCTGAAGAATACGATGTCATAAACTCTTACCAAATAATCAACTACGCCTTGAGTCATCCCATGAACGAAAAGTCAATAAAAATTGATCTGAAAACGAATATAGGTCAGATTCATATCTCTGACATCTACCTTGGCTCGTTCAAAAATCACGAACGAATAATGATCGTTGACAAGAAGAACAAGGTTAATTTCATTATCACAATCACTCGTAATGAAGCAACCAAGATTATCAGAGTTCAGGAGGAATATGAGTTCCAGATAGAGGCTCAAGAGGAGGAAGACCAACTCCAACGCAGAGGGTTTCTGTATGATATCAGGATTCCAAAGTTCGGTATTTCATTGGTAGACTCGACAGCTCCTGAAGAAATTGCCTACATATACTTTAAGAATATTGATGCCACTTTTGAGATCACCAAGAATTATCAGAAATTCAAGCTCTCTGTGCTCGCCATACAGATAGATGACCAAGTTGGAAATGAAAATGAGTGCATAGTATTGAAGAAGAACGGAGGTAGAGGCAAGAATTTTATTGAACTAAGCTGGTGGCTCGTTAATAATAAAGGATATGAACATGTTATACACTATAAAGAGCTCCATCTCAAGGTTCATCCAATCGAGCTTTACCTAAATGGTAACTTCTGATCCAACCTGTTTCAGTATTCTGAGTCTCTACTTTCTAATTTATCTATTTTAATGAACCAGAATGACGATGCTATAAAGAAACAAGATTTTACTGATATGGTCCCTGATATAGTTAAAGACAAAGCAGACCAGCTCAAGAATAGCATATACTTCGAAAGTCTGTTTATTGATAAAATGAGAATCAAATTCTCATTTACAAGTAACCCTGATTTTCTGAATCAGGCTCTTTTTAGCCCAACACTAAAATTCTTAATTGCAATGATGATGAATATGAAGCAAGTTGAGCTGCATTTCCAAAGATATACAATTGCTTCTGATCCAGTTAGTATTCCTGTGTTCATCTCAAATATTAAGAACCATTACTTGAATGAATGCTTCTCTCACAAACAGTTGCTCAGAGTGCTATCTTCTCTCGGACTTCTAGGAAACCTACATGAGACAATAAATAACTTTAAAATAGCTATTATCGCTCTGATTGAGAATCCCAACAGAGACGGCAACTACTTGATAGTAGGAATAGCAGGGAACCTTTATAACTTCTTAAGATACACCCTGTATGCTGTCAGTAACACACTGACAGAGATCGCTGATAGTGTTTTCAATGGGCTAAACTCACTTATAAGTCATAGAAGATCAACCCAAACCCTTGACACAAATACAGATAATTCCTTAGACATTGAACAAGAGTTTTTGGATAACATCAACTCCATTGCGGGTGCTCTAGATACTCAGAACAAGATTTGGCTGAATTCTTTCCTCCAACTAGAAAACTACCAAAATCAAGATATGGCTAAATCTACTCACCAGATTCAAACAGAGGACCAAAAAGTTGATGAAGTTGATATTGAAGCACCAAAGATTGAACTAGAAACAAAATCGAAAAGAGACAAGATAATTGATAAAATCTCATCTATTCGTGGATTCCCTGTGAGTCTCAAGCACATTCCGATAGCAGTGCTGTATGCTATTTATCAATTCATCAAGAAGATCAACAGGAAGGTTAAATACAACAAAGGGCAAGATGTTGATAGGAGGGTTAGGAACCCTAGATACTTTGGATATACAAAAGAACTTGAAAACTATTCTTACAAAAAGGCACTCGCCATCAAGATTGTGCCAATTGACGATATCACAGATATTTTCACTTTCAACAAGACAGAGATGATTTTGACTGAGAACAGGGTCCTATGTATCACTCAGGGCTCTGAGATGGAAGATCTGAACTACTGGACTCTGAAATACTCCGATATACTAAGTGTAAAGGTAAGCTTTGTACACTTAAAGATTTAGCTTTCATTGGAGAAATCATTTTACGAAAATGACTCTGAATCAATCAACACTAGCAAAGAAGTCCAGTCAAGAAAAGTAGTTAGCAATGATGAGACAAGAGACAGTCAGGATAAATCTGTAGGCTTCCACTATTCATTCTAATAGGTTGTTGAAAACGGTGCGAAGTTCAAGATAGATATTTTGTATTACAATGATACCTTCCAATTTGGAAATAAAGAGATTTATGACACGTTCAAAAATAAAAAGTCTGCTAGACAAGGTAAGTTGTTCGATCTTTACCAATTAGCTGTAAGCAAATTCATGAAGGAAATTCACATCAGAATTGGAGAGATGGCAAGAATTTCGTCAGCTCCATTTACACTACAAGATATTATAGAAGAATAAATATAATTATTCAATGTTGAAGAATAAATCCGGGGTTTTGGGGTTTTGGGGTTTTGGGGTTTTGGGG